GTACCTAAAAACCGTAATACACTATTGTACTAACCAAGTAATAGCAATCAGAAAGACTATGGTTGGTAACAAGTAGCCTTAAACACCCAACATTTCACGAGGTGTTTTTACACTACAAGCCTTGGTCTAATGGCCAAGGAAAATGTGGCGCGTTTACACCATTGCGTTATTTTTATAGCAGTAATCATTATATAGATTACTGTAACATGATTACTCTGTAATATGGAATAATTTGGATACCTAGAAAACGGGAGGTTGTACAAACAACACTAATAGAGAGCTCAAGATCGATGACGCGCCAGCTCAACGACGCGGTCTGAATTTCAGTTCAAGAATGAGCCCTAAGCAATTGCATTACTGTAATAAATGTTTGAAGATTTTTCAAATAACCTTAAAAACTGCCAAGTTCGACTAAAGCGATGCAGTGTTTGCTGTAATTTCGACTTTAAGACGGCTTTAGGGTCGCAATAAGCGTTCACCTTGCGTGAAAGTCGTGATAATGCTTAGTTTAACGTTTTTTAGCACGACAAAGCCTTTGAAAATACCCCTGAGACCACGAATTATTGATAGTTTTTGTCTTGCATAACAAATTTCTTTCTTTCACAAGCGCGTCGTTGAGCCAACCGCGTCGTAGGTCTTAAGTTCGCTATTTACCGGATTGTGCTATTTGAAAAATTTAGCTACAATTTAAATCGTAAGCCCTGTAAGCTTCATTTGAGAGTTATGACCATTTATAAAAAGATAACTTGTTGGACATCCTTCGTACAGCCAACTACAGATGTACATATAAGCAATAAACACAACTCTTATAAGCCCCGGTTTACACTATACCGGATTCGCTGGTCACTACATCTTCTTTTGCCGTTACGGAGCATTGGCTAGTAGCAAATGCTTATTAGTTTGACAGAATTGGCATGTTTATTTGGGGCTCTGAGATTAAAAATCTTCACAACCTTTGGATACCTACAAAATTTGACCCACTCCGATAGCAATCCGGTATAGTGTAAATGGAGCCTAATAAAAACGAAACCTCACTCGCACATAACAATTTATATCCCACACGTAGCCGATGTTACGCTTAAAAATATAAAAACAGTTTAATGTGTACCTGTCGTCCTGAATTTCCTCACGTTGACTTGCTTGGCTGATTTAATAGTGAAATACTCCTCTGGTCTTTGGCGTTTTGAGGGGGCGTGATCACTGGCGTGCCTTCGCTTGCTCCCTTCACCTATTTGGTTTTCTGGCGGTTCAGGCATCTGTTCGAGTTCGCATAAACCATCATCATTGGCCCAGTCTTCGTTGAACAGGCGACGTTGATCCTCGGTCCAGTTTGCCATCATATTAGGGTCAACTCCAACCGGATTCTCCCGTTCAATATCTTCGGCCATCGCGTTCGTCCAAAATATAATGCGCTGTTGAAGAACAGCTTCCTTCTGCTCATCAGTCAGAACAAACGACTCCTGAAGAAAGTCGAGTTCACTTTCAGCTTCACAAGCTTTGATAAGATCCAACATATTAATCTAAAAATATCATAAACATATTAATCTAAAACTATTGTAAACATATATTCAAAAACAAATTTTATCCAGCCTATGACTCTGAAACTATCGTAAACATATATTCAAAACGCTACGTTTCCTTACCGTATGAGCCATTTAAAAAAAACAATCCAACGCAATCCAAAAGCAGAGAACACTTCAGAACCAGACAACACTTGAGAAAACCAGAGACCACTCGCCAAAATGCAACAGTGAGAAATGAAACGTGTGTTTGATACACGATATTTATAATCTCTGATAATTTGTTTGGTCGCGCTACTGTGTTGTGCCGCTAATTGGTCTCGTTACTGTATTGTAATGCTAATTGACCACGTTTGGCCCATACCGGCCCGCGTTAATTGGTCGCGCTACCCGTCACAGTTGGCCCAGGCCTGCCTGTGTTAATTGGTCGCGCTACCTGGCCCAGGGTTAGGGCCAGCAAAGTTGCGTCATAGATTTTGCATGCTAATTACTTTCGGAGCAGCGTGACGTCATAGATTTTGGAAGCTCCTTATAAAATCCGCCAGATTGTTAGCCGAACAAAGTGACGTCATAGATTTTGGAAGCTCATTATAAAATCCGCCAGATTGTTAGCCGAACAAAGTGACGTCATAGATTTTGGAAGCTCATTATAAAATCCGCCAGATTGTTAGCCGAACAAAGTGACGTCATAGATTTTGGAAGCTCCTTATAAAATCCGCCAGATTGTTAGCCGAACAAAGTGACGTCATAGATTTTGGAAGCTCCTTATAAAATCCGCCAGATTGTTAGCCGAACAAAGTGACGTCATAGATTTTGGAAGCTCATTATAAATTCCGCCAGATTGTTAGCCGAACAAAGTGACGTCATAGATTTTGGAAGCTCATTATAAAATCCGCCAGAGGGGGGGGCTTTATTACTTCCCTCTAATACCAATCCCCCCACCAACCTTTAAAACAAAGAACACCTGCATATGATATGAATGAAATATTGGTTGTGCAGAAAGATAAAATAATATGCCCCAGTCACCTAGTGGAGTATGTAGAAACTATGCCCTTTCAATTGACCTTATGAGCATGCCTATACGTATTAACCCATAAGGTCTTTTATGCAAATGCAAAATATTATTTTATATTATTTAAGTTGGCGGTCTCTTTACTTCTTGTACAATCGCACATCTTCTACGTTTCAACAACGTCAATCGTTGGAACTGAGCCTCCAGTCAAGAAGCGTTCGGTGTAACTGCTATCGAAACCTTGTAAATTGCTCTAGAGCTTTCGAATAAAATAGCTCTCGAATAAAATAGCTCTCGAATAAAATAGCTCTCGTCAAAATAGCTCTCGTCAAAATGTGCAGAGCGCAACCATATTCTTGAAGAAGACGTTTCAGGGTCGAAGTCAGATCGATGTCTTCGAACAAAACGAACCCATTGCCTTCGTAGGTGGAGCTGTCATTCATTTATATAGCCAAGCAACAGACAGAAATCTTTCGGAAAACAATGCATGCTAATGCTGGTGTGTCGCCAGACTCGCCACTATTTGTGCATGGCTTCTTATTTGGCCCTCCAGGAACACAAAACACTTTTAGAATCTTCCCCCTCATTTCACATGAATGAGACGTTTCCTCCATATTTGTGCGGCTAATATGTAAATGAAAATCTTTGCTTGGATTATTCAGCGTCGGCTGTGGCGTGGATGCATAGTATAATCTCTACCTTGTATTAACGATCACACAGGCCTATAAATTATAACAATTAAACCAAATCTCTTCTCGACGTTTCGAACGAAGGCCCTTCCTTCGTCACGTAGAGTTAGTAGGGTAAGGGAGAGCTCGAAAAAGGCGAGATTTCGTTTATCTTTTACAGGCTTGCGTGATCATTTATGTACAACTGACAGAGCTTAATACAGCTTATGTTATTGAGCGTGCCCTGCTCTTTACGTCACAGGAAGTAATTTGACGCCTTTTGGCCGCGCACAGACAGAACCACTTTTTGAAGCCAAAATCGGCATGTTTAACCCTCGATAACTTTTGTTTAATTGATTTTTAGAGCTTGCGTTTTTAACATCGTCTTTTATACATTAAACACTATGGGAATATCGAATAAAAAATTTCATTTCATAGGCACTTTAAAGAAACCTTTGCAGCTGAAAAAGTAAGCTAAATTACGTTATCATACGTACAATATACAATATACTATATACAATACAATATACTATATACAATAAAATATGTTATAAATAATGCTCAAAAGGAATGTAGCTTTTCTTAAACCGTTCTGTTCGGCATTTAACTAGTGATAAATTCCGCTTTTGTCTCAAGTTGTAAGTTATCGGTTCTCTCTTCGGTAAGAGTTCAGAAAATTTATCGTTATTAATAGTTAATTTCCTGAAAAAGTTTTAACACATATTATCTCTTCTTGTCGACAGAAGATTAAGGCCACTTTTGGTTAGTGACTCAGCGTAGAAAACCAGCTCGAAAGCTTTGCCAGCTGGAAAGCTTTGCTCCTCTGGCTGTCGCTCACTACTACTTTTTGGTTTGAAATTTTAGAATATTTAATTATTTTTAACTCCTACAATATACTTTATTTTTCTTCCTGTATTTTAAAAAAATGTAATGATATGAAACAGTGTCAATAAAACAGTTCGCCTTAGGATGCGAAGAACATACAGACGCTTAGAAGCTTAGTAATCTTGTCGACGTGTAGGTTCCAAGTAAGATCTGCTGTGATCCACACACCCAAGAGTTTGAAGAAATAAAGAATTTGACGGTTTCGATCTCATTACCGTTAATACGCAATGGTTCTAATTCGCGGCGAGATCATTGATCATAACTATAAACTAGGGATCCAAGGATAGTGTAAAGTTTCAAATTGAAAAAGTCACTGCAAGAACTATATCATTTACAGTTACATATTTCATTTACAGTATTTTAGCACGTCTTAATTTCGGAGCTACAGGATTGCGTTGCAGATCGGAAGAACAATTGCCTCGTGTGAGTCGTGCCACATGGCCTACAAAGCTAATACTATTATAATCCCTGATCTTTGGTTGTAGCCTCACGTTTCACACGAGTTGTGGACGGCTGTACTATATACTTCCATTAACTATGCTGTAAGCAAACAAAATGTCGAATGGAAGACAATTCTGTATTTCGCTATTTAATGTCTGTAATCAGGTTTACATGAATCGTCGTGAGAGAAGATATTATTAATGTTAGTTCACCACAGAAGTTAGTTCGTCAGTTCGCATATTAGTATAGTCTATAGCTTTTGTCTTTTTGATATCAGAAGTGACAGTCCATAACCAGTCTACGCGGTCGTTTCAAATGTGTATTTCTTGCCATATATTTTCGTTTTTTGTTGGTTGAATGATGATCATGATCATGGCTTCAACGTAATATGTTTTTCTTCTCTTTTCTCTCAGGTCAGATCACACATTTAAGTTAATTATGGGCGCTGTGTAGTTCTCTTGTAATTTCATTGTGATGACTGACAGTTAACAATGTATGGTTGGGATCTGGATCCATATTGTTGCTATTGGCGCCAACATATAAGTCGGTAATTTCCAAACTGTTAGCCACACACACACATAAAACTTTGAATCCTTCATCTAAATTGATTAGCTTATTAACAGAACTTTCAGACTTCAAATCTTCTGCTGTGTAAGTTTTACCTTTGGTTTTACATTTACGCAAAGATAAACTTGCACTTCCTTGAATTTGTCTGATCTGTAATTTTTTTAATTTGTAAAAAATGTTTGGCATAGACTGAGCAACTCTTCTATCTTGACTTCGTAATTCCCATTTACAAATTGTACTATATTGAACAGGCACAAGTCTTTCACTGTTATCAGCTTGACGTTTGCCACAGTAAATGGTAGGGAAAGACAAAAATTCAGCATCTTTATCTATAAATATACCAAGTGGTCTATTTGAGTCTTCTCCTTTATCACCATCTTGAGAAATGTCAGGTTCTTCTAATAATGTATCCATAACACCTGATGGTCGTTCAGTTACTTCACACCACTCATCGTCAGTGTCATTGTCAACGGAGTCTTTACTTACTCGCGTCTCAACTGTTTCTTGATTTTGAGCATTCAAATCGTTTGACAGATTTTCTGAAGTTTCCTTGGTGTTCTTGGTAATAAATTCTAACCACTCTTCGTCCTTATTGACTGGATTTGACACATAATTATCCATTACCTGTATTCCTTCGTTCTTGAATATTTCACTAGTGCGAACCAAGTATTGAGCTGCATCTAAAACTTTCGTAGATCTAACGTTTTGAAATTGATAATGGTGTTAATAACCGAGCTGTCGTTTCAATTTTATTGGAATAGTTTGTGACTCGTTAATTGGTCTTGGTAAAACACTAACGGTTGTTATTTGTGTGATGTTACTCTAGTATATATCTACACCGGGCAGGCTTGAAAAATATGCCTGGCCACGGCGGGATTCGAACCTACGACCTTTGGAATACTAGCCCAATGCTCTTCCAACTGAGCTACGCGGTCAGGACGGTTCGAGTAAGTGATATTTCGGAACTGAGTCTAGTTCCTTCGATATCAGTGTAATCTAATATTTATGAAATCTGCTGTGTTGGTGTAATGTACTCAGGTGAATAAGATATTTGTGTGATGTTATTCTGAGTATATATCCACACCAGGCAGGCTTGAAAAATATGTTTGGCCACGGCGGGATTCGAACCTACGACCTTTGGAATACTAGCCCAATGCTCTTCCAACTGAGCTACGCGGTCAGGTCGGTTCGAGTAAGTGATATTTCGGAACTGAGTCTAGTTCCTTCGATATCAGTGTAATCTAATATTTATTGGTCGTACTAGTATTCCAAAGGTCGTAGGTTCGAATCCCGCCGTGGCCAGGCATATTTTTCAAGCCTGCCCGGTGTGGATATATACTCAGAGTAACATCACACAAATATCTTATTCACCTGAGTACATTACACCAACACAGCATATTTCATAAATATTAGATTACACTGATATCGAAGGAACTAGACTCAGTTCCGAAATATCACTTACTCGAACCGTCCTGACCGCGTAGCTCAGTTGGAAGAGCATTGGGCTAGTATTCCAAAGGTCGTA